ATGATGTTGGAGAGGATCCTGGGAGGACCTGGTTAGTGGTTATGTACATGCACAATAACAGTATTTATTACATGACTCAGGCAGTCAGAGGGCCAATAACTAAAATCAACAAATCAAAATGCTTAGTTGCCGGTCAATATTCTCTAAGTATTGGACCGGGCACTGTCCGGAATGGTCTCCAATGATACCGCACTTGTGTCCCTTTGAACCTCAGTTGTATAATAAATTTCTTATTATCCAAGCTTGCTCGGGACCGTACTGGAAGAATATCGGCCCTTGGTCTTTTTTGTACGGACCTCGCTGCGCTAGGTCCGTACTGTCAAGACCTCGGGCCGATATTCTCCAAGTACGGCCCCGCGCTTGATTAATAAGATATATATATTTGAGAAATTTGTTGATGTAGCAAGCAACCATCAAATACTGAGGCAGAAATTATCCAAATATGAAAAACTAATATTGAAAAAGATGGGAAAGAACTAACATGAATACCGGAAGGCGAATTTAAAAAGCTAAGGATTAGTATCATACGATGCACTGACTGCAATGAACTTTCAGCCAAAAGTGCAACCGATAGAAAAGGCAATTTCATAATTAAAAGAATATCGATAATTTGTCTATGAAACTATCTTATTTTCAGAATTTACAGCAATCCCCTTTTATCCCGTGCGTTGTCTTACCTTGCAGCTGTCTCGAACATACTGTGACTTATACGGCTTTGTAAAGCAACGTTCTCAAACATATCGCTTTCTACTAAGTTTTAACCATAAATTTGTCCATTTTTTACGCGCCCACAGTCGCTTTTTTCAGCTCGGAATACTGTGCTTCTAAGCCAACGTTGCAACGGAAACTTTTCAGTAAACAATAAACATTGGACAATGTGCGGGTCAAAAGCTTTGGCAAGTCTCCTCCTCGAAAAACGGCATAACAGTTTTGTAGATACAACCAGTTGCAAAAATGTTGAGACCCCTTGAGCAAAAAGTGCGCTTACCGACTTCATCAAAAGTTCAAGAAGGAATCTAGTGTAAAAACCTAAAAACTGCCAACCTTCTCCTCTTTCAGTATTGATCATCATGAATATTTGTAAATGATACTGCTTAGCTACTAACATTGCAAAGGGGGAACGGGGGGATACATTATGTTAGATAACATGATGAACAATTATCTCTTGTTGTGCTAACATATCTCAACTATCTTTTCAACTAGTTGTAGGTCATTTGTTAAGGCGCAAATTTGCGAGTGACAAAGAAAACAAAGAGTGTCCTTTTGAGCATACAATACAGACACGGAGGCGCTTTCGAAGTCTGTCGTGATCAATGATGACCGTTTACATCCTTTTCCTTTTTATCTACATGCATATGGGTATATTGAATATCTATATATCTATCTATATCTATATATATATATATATAAAGTTTAGAATCAGATACCTGATAATCATCTTGCCTCAAGATACTTATGAATGGAACCACCGTCGGCCCAAGCGTGCTTGCAGATAGCCTGTCAATTAATTTGTTACCAGAGCCTATGATGGCCATCGTTTCATTCACTTCTTGCGATGTTCTAGAAATCTTTTCTGCAACTTTCAGAGCGTCATAAAAACTAAGGTTTCCGGCAGGAAATTTGACAACATCTACGTCCAGGTTTACACGCCACTGTTTTAAGTCAAGCGTGTGACTTGAAAGCACGGTGACTCGAGGCAGCGCTCCCGATCGCACGGGCTCATAACAACTGGTTATCTTTGCAGTATTGATGTGATATACTAGTAAAATTGAGGCTAAACAGTAAACACCCATTTTTTAACTTATCTGTCTAGTTTCGATGTGTAAAAAATCGTTCCACAAGGCTCAGCTTCAAAGATAGAAGATCTCACACAGCACAAGAAACAAAATAATCATCGATATTGCTGTAGCTACAAAACAGTGAAACGAAGTGATTGGCCATCAATCAATGACATCTTTCACTTTGGGGGTGAAAGTAAAATTGAGTGCTACCTGCTACTCACGTCACTCATATCTTTGCGCGCCGAATTCTAATCGTTGCTTTGTAGTAAAGTCTTTACAATATGGCCAAAGTTGCAGAGAACGTTAAGTACGTGGACGACCTCCAGAAAGCGCTTAAAGAAAGCTTAGCTGTGTTTTCGGTTAGCTAATTAAAATCTGAACAAAAACTAATCATCGAGAACATCGTGGAAAGGAGATATGTTTTCGGACAGTTACCGAAGGGGTTTGGAGAAAGTTTAATCTTTCAACTGCTGCGTTGAGTGTTCAAATTCTTGAGCTCGAAAGGCCACGGATTCTCTTCTAGTCCCTTGGTCATTGTCATTTCACCTCTTTTGTCGATTGTTGAAGACCAAGTTAANAATGAACATCGTGTAACATGTATTATTAAAAACTGGATCATTGGATAATGCAATTCAAGACTTTTTATTGGCTTAGCCATTATGGTATATGAGCCAATATACCATAATCTACAAATATGGTAAGCGTATGCGTCAGCTTAAAATTAAAAGGGAGCTAAAAAAATTGTCTAATATAAAGATTTGTCTAATATCTTGGGGGCGTTTTTAATAAAACAATTATTCCACTCGCACTTGTTGGATATGAGATGATTATAGCCAACTCGGCGCTACGCGCCTCGTTGGCTATCTATCGTCTCATATCCAACGCGCGCTCGTGGAATAATTATTAATTATACAGGATAATTATAAAATTTGACTATGAGATATATGCTAATAAGTATCGCTTTTACCTTTGACTTATTTTTTGTAAAACTAATATTTACCCAATAAAAATAGTTAAAAAAGTTTTTCTCGTTTATGACAATTAACAAGGCAGCAGGTAACATACAAGAGTGAGGATTGATACTGACCCTCTCTTTAGCTTTTCGAGGCCCTCGTTGTAGTTACTCACAGTATAGGGAATCATGTTTCTTCCAATTTTTCTGTATGCAGGATCATCACTATTGGTAAAGAACGACAGTATACTACTACTATGAAGAGTGGTAAATGTGAAGCCTGCTGGAGGATCCTGAAACTGCGAAACAAGTAGGAAACAAACAGTGTCAGCTCTATTCTAAAATATCAAAATGTGCATATCTGCAGCCTCATCAATCCTGCCTCATGCGTGAGCCACCCAAAGTGATTTTTCTTAGCGTTGAAGTCATAGTTTCCATGATGGTTTTTATGGCAGGTATAGGAGACACCAGTTTACACAAGCTATCATCGGCATTTGTACTTCTTCCTATCTCACCATATCTTCAAATTTTTCTTAAATAGCTTGAAGCCAAGACTCCAATTCATTTCAAAGGTAGAAATAAAATGACCTTGAGCTACAATCAGTGCTTTAGTTTCAGTTACCTTAGGATCGTTAATCCCTGTGACAGGAGATTCTCCATCCAGCTGAACAAGAGAAGCTGCCAATTTAGCCGTGTATGTTGTGATTATTATTAGTGTTGAGAAAGAAAACACAGCAGTTGTAAGTCTTGCACTAATGCTCCGTGGCCTCTTGCCTTCCAACTCAAGTTTGACTACATTACTCCAAATGTAGGACATACATGTTGACAAGCTGAATCTGGTTTCCCTTTTTGCAGAGATTATCCGATTGCCATTCGGACTAATTCTTTCCAAGAGCCATACTGTTGCAAGAATACCACTGACAGTAGCTAAAAAGACAATCCACAAGACTGCATCAAACGGTGTCAGGAACCCAATTCCCAAATTGACACTTACTGGAGTAACAGAAATAAGTAGTTTTGTTTCCCCGTGAAAATATGGAAAAGAAAAGTCCACGTATCTTTCCCTCATTCTTGTTATTGTCAACGCTGAAAGAGCCATGTCAGCTCTATTAGAAAGCAGTTCGCCAATCATTCCATCCCATTCTTTAGAGTCGGCGTTGTAAGCCCCATACTTTCCGTCTCTAGCCAAATGCAACTCCACTGAATTAGTTAAGTCTTTTTCAAGCCATTGTAGGAGATCTATGAGAAAGCCAATACAACAGCACTTTATTGGTTCACTTCGCTTGGAGTTGTCATCAAATTGCTTGTATTTTGTACAGGGATAACTCAGAACGCACTCACTAAATGTACCCACATCTTCCTTACTCACTATCAACATTGGTTCTTCTTCAATTACCACTATTCGAAGTAGCTTTTTACGATCAGAAACGTTTCCAGTCAATAACGACCTTTGAAAACTGACTTTATGGTTTGAAGCAGACCCCACGGTAACCCATTCTACTTCCCCTGAACGTGATGAGTTGACTTGGAATGTGATGATGATATCATAACTACCAGCCATTCGGTTCCCTTCCTCGTCGAAGTGAATCCATCCTGTTTTTCCTAAGAACGCCTGATCCAGCATTTTTCTGGAGTTTTAAAGAATAACAGTTTTGAGAAAGAAAAGCTACGAATGTGCCTATTTAGCAGCTTTAGTCAAATCAGGAATGGAATCATAGCAGTTCCTCTCCTAAAGGACATTTTTTCAGGGAACTTTTCCTTTCATGGGACAATTTATGCTCTCTCCCCATTAATTTTCTTTACTTTTGATCGGGCAAAAATTTTGGAAACAATTTTCGAACCTTTCCTTGT